CGTCAATTGCAGCCTCCGGTTGCTCGGTTGCGATGATGCCAAATCGCAGCTTTCGCATGTCGCAAGTGGACGAACGCGGGAAGTCGATATCACAGCTATGTCGTAACGGATGAGCTAAGCGCGATCTAGACCAGGCAACACCAAACAGGCGGTCGGTCGCGGGTCGTTGACTCATACAGTTCTATACAAAGATGAAATAGAACAATTAAGGATATAATATAGTGCAGATGTTCGTTATCATGACTCGGCACTATCGAGCAAACCAGATAATGGTTATAAACATGTTAACTTAGGACGATATAAAGCCAAAAATTCTAATGCTCTAATAGTTTAGGGAATTGCTGATCAAAGTTTAGACGGTACAAACAGAACTTTAGCTCAGCTTCAGCTAGACTATCCGGTCACGCTGTGCAAACGATCACATTATAGTCGGAGGGGTGAACGTACAGAAGTAAATTGTTCGACTGCATTATCCACAGCAGAACCCACCATGTGCAAATCGGCCTACAGATCACAACGACTCGCCGATCGTCGATCACGCATTCGTCGTGCGACCGCCTCCAATGAGGTACCGCATACGCAACCGGTCGCACATACTAATTTTTCCGATGAAATGCTACAGAGATTAAGCAAGACATTAATGCGACAATGCGACCACGTGTTGTGGACCATATTTCTTAGTTCACATTTTGGTAAGGACCAAATGTATTTATTGATTAATAATTTAACAAAACTCTCCGGGAAAATGATTTTTTCGCATTGATGTGATGTATCATAGCGTCTTACCACCGCACCATTTGCATAACTTTAACCGTGTGTTACTTACATCACGATCTGCTCTAGAATCCGCCAAAGTAGACGCAACATCTGGAAGCAGCAAACGGCTAAGCAACTGGCGCGATTCGGGCACTGTTTGGATTACGAAACGGCCGGGCATCGTTCCGGCACGAACGGGGTCAACAACTCAGGGTCGGCGGCAACCACAGCCGGCTCTAACGCATAACGGTACGCCATCTAACCGGGCATACAAGCACCTGCACAGACGGAGCTGCCCAAACTCGATACCGCTAATCAATAGCATTCTCTTTCTTATATTTTCTACCACACCACTCGTCTCAGCCAGTATCGCTCAACGTATCATAGCAAATTTTAAACATGTTATGCACTTTAGACTGCTTTATAAGTTCACGGTCAGGGAAGCGTAATACCATACCAGCAACCTCATCAGAAAATATACCATCACCTCTAAGCCTCGGATGTATATTTCAACTTTCCCCTAAAACATAAAGCGGCATGATCGCTTAACAGCTCTCATCGGCGACCGCTCTAACATGTTCTCAACAGTATCTAATTTACATCAGCAGAACCTTCCATATGTCCCAGTCGATGAATTAAAGGGGCAACTTGGAAACTGTCAATTATTGATATAAAACAGGAAACGTCTAGCACTTCAATTGTTAAATTGGCAGTTCTGGCATCTTTTCGTTAAATGTAAAATAAGTATATCGTCCAAATTGAGTGGCTAACTAAGGACTGCTTCAATTAATGTTATATTTTTATAAATAATCATTGTTAATTCCAAGTATTAATTCAGCTACCAAGCTATCAAGTCGGCTACAAAGAGGTAATGTATTCCTCATCTAAACAATCTATATCGTCAGATATCGAAGATCATTGAAAATTCGGGATAAAGGGAATCGAACCGACACCTCGCTTCGCCGTTCTAATTCTATCGTAGAGCATCCGTGGCGATGAACTCTTTTATGAATATTCATTAGGCGCGTGCAGTTAACAACGAATAATCACATAATCGGGCACTAATTGTAATGTACGGCCGTCGTAAATGATAATTAATTCCGATGTTCGCCTCATGAACCGATATCACGATATGTACATAAGTACGTATATGTACTCTTACCGTTGTTACAAGTCCTTGAAATGTGAATAATGTATAAAATAACGTGTTTACGTAATGCATTTCTCGTTAGATATCTGTTAAGTCTACACATGTCGAACTTTATTATAATTATAGGAGTAAATATTTATAAGAATGGTTATTAATTACCTACCTCCACTCTTATGCATGAAAATAGAAAATTCAACGAGTCAGCCACGTAATATTCATGTTTAGCGTACGCTACTTTTAGGTATACTTGATACACACCGTAAATTGCCTTCCTGAAAGTTGATCATCACGAATGTTTGCATAGGAAAGGATCGCTTTATATACCATAAATGCACTACGAATCAGTAACAGTCAGAAGATATCAAATTAACAATGTGACTTTCTTCAATGACAATGGCCATATGCTTAAATGACCGCGTATAATTCAACGAAACCTCCTATGGAAAATTCTGGAGAGAGGCGAACGTCCTACGGCGGCAATTGACAATGGCGGGCAATAAGTCCGGCGAGGATTCCATGTCGGGACGCATTGGGATCAAGGGCGAGCGCCCCGGCCGGGCCACAGATTTTGTGTGTAAGGATTTATATAACAGAATAATAATATATGCCCTCATTAATTGCCTTCTAACATTTACTTACTTATGGTTGTTTATTATTGGTTCAACAGATACATTAATAACGCTCGCATAACACTGTGCGTTAATTATTACCAGTTTAGTAATTAGACGTGAGATCCAGTTACTGACGTATTTAAGACTAAACCAAGAAAATTGGATGTTAGTTTTTAATGTTACACTTCCTTACACATACTTCTAATTGAACAGTACAGCGGTATTAAATATAGTTAACTCGGCCAATAAAGCAATGATATACGCTTTTGATATTTTATAAATTACAAAAATTGCTACGAGTTCTGGAAAATTCCAGCGGATGTCGTTGCGAGCGCACCGAAGCAGTTTTTATAACGACCTCTAATTTTTCAATATTAAACGCTTCACGTGTTGACGTATACTTGTATAATAATGGCATTGCATGCACATTATTTTATCTACATTACTGCTATTATTGACAAATAAAAATATTACCGACTAATTGTAGCATTTTGCACTTAACAACAAATTTTTCGGTGTATCAATTAATGACAGATTTATGAACCGAAAACAAATAAATTAAACCGTTATTTACAACACTACCATTGATATAGTTTCCTTTATAATTCTTCATTGTTACTATATCTCAATTAATGAAAAATACAGATGTTGGGGCCGATGACGATAAATTAGACCGTCATTCACACACTACCAATGAAATACTATAATTCCCCTTACAATTATTCAGTGTTTCTATTTGATTTCCCGATTGAGTCCGTGCTTTTCACAAAAAGACATCCTTCATATGAGTCTCGACTCCATTTACCTACTGGAGCGAATGGAGGAGACACTGAAAGCGGTTCTTGCGCCGCGACAACCTTTTAAGCTGTGGCCGCGATGACGTCACCGTCTGGCTCTGGGTAGATACAAGGCGGCGTTGGGAAAAGCCGTGACGACTCTAGTGACGGCTGGAAATTTCACAGAACTGTCTAGTTATTTCCAGTGATGAGCATGGTTTTTAAACAGATCTCTATGGTTCCTTTTAGCTATAGATCGTAACGGTCCGTCTGAATATTTTAATGCAATTTTCAAATACAGGAGAACTTAAAACTATAAATGCATTAAATAACCCAAAATCGTGAAGGTGGCAATGCGAAAATATTTTTCTTAAAGCTAATGTTATGTTTAACTTAGTATTTCATACATCAAAACACATTATATGTATAAAAAACGTGTTTATCTATTTGTGCTTGCTTTAGAGCTAAGTAAAATTTGTATTTTGTTCACTTCGTAGTCATTAATATATAAATTGTAATCTTTATTCAATGAGCTATTAGATAATCCTTTCTGCATCCCGTACGGTTCATGAATTCCGAAAGAAACCGATGAAGTTATCGCTCGTCGTCTTATCCACCTTAGAACCTTCACCAGCCACGGGGCAGAGAAAACAGGCCCCATTGGCAGTGCCATCAGATTGCGCGTGCGTGCGCGGCGGACGGTGACATTGACCGTTCGCGGGGTCACGACGGCAGCTTTACACGCAACACTGTGCCAAGGTAGGAGATTGAAAAGAAACGAATGGGCCATCGGTACCGAATTTCGCAAGCCACGTCAGCGGCGCGCGGTTTGTATTTTTTAAACAAGCAAATTCCTTTACGTGAGGGACCTTTATTGAGGTTAATTTTTAATTAATACCTAGCCTAAATTAAGTCTATCACCGACTAGTTTCGGGAGATTTGTGTTGACATTGCATCGTCCATATTCTGGTCATATCAAATGCTAGCTGACTTAATGGTTAAAAATGGTTTTGTGTGAATATGCTTTCAATTGGTAAAATTGTTCGAAATTAATACAAAAATCGTTATTAACAAAAATACTCATCAACGGCTTATAATAGAGGATATAAATCCGCTAGGATATTTCGCAAATTCATAAAAATCTTATCCTTTAAACGAGCAATTCTTGTATATATATATTATAATCGGAATCTCGGAAACGGCTCCAGCGATTTTCATGAAATTTAGTATGTGCGTAGATTCGGGGGCGAAAAATCGATCTAGCTAGGTTTCATTTTTAGAAAATGCCCTTTTATCCCTGTTTTCAGGGAATGAAAAATATAATTTGAATATGACGGTAAATTTCGCCGCAAGAGAAAATGTCATAATAGCTCGGTCGGTAATCGGGCGGCCCCAAAACGGCCGGCCGTGGTTCGCGTCACGATCATTTACACATTTATTTTTTTTATTTTTTTTCGATTCCAGATCATTGCTTTCTTTTTAATTTTTTGTCGATTTGTTATTTTGTATTTTTTTTCCCTTTTTGTTTTAAAGTTCTTTCTTTTGTGAAAAACATCAGTTCATATTTTCTTATTATTACGTCGGTAAGATCGAAAAATATTATGCATATTTCATTACTCAGTAATTTGTATCTAAATATAATTTCCAAAATTCACGATTTACCAAAAAAAAGAAAAAACCGAGCAAAGCTCGGTCCTCCGGGTATGTATGTATGTAGTTAAAAGAAAAACCGTCCAAATCCACGAGAATCCACCGTCGGATGAGGTGGGTGGTATGTTCGCACGTCGACCACCGGTAGCAACCGCGTTCGTGACCACATTGTTAACAGCGTGTGTTGACGACGACGCCGGTGCATATAGCCGCGGCAAACGGTAAACACCGCCGCCGTTGATCAAACAAGGCGCGACGAACGCATTGAAAGTGATTGTTGTCGAATAACACCAACGAGACAATGATTGGAACGCACCAGTTTCACACGCCATCTGTTCAGTTAGACCGGCAACAATGATTTGGACTTAACTAATCACGTTGAGACAATGGATGAAATATACAAATAAGAGGTAGATACGACACTAGCGCACCGAAATTGAGGCTCTCAAATTACACCAATTGGTGTGCTTAGATTGCAATTCTATAGACTGCTATCTCTTTCCGTATCATACGTTCTATACCATCTGTCACATAAACTTATGTAAAGCGAAACAATTTTTAAACGACACGCAGCATGGACATGCGTCATCTATCTATATATTAATACGTGAAGCAGAAACTTTGTACCCCTTTTTCCGAAAAATGCGCGGACGGAGAGGTGTGAAGTTTCCCACACTTATAGTTTATATAGAGAATGAATACATAATGCTAATATTTTTTTAATTATATATAAAAAAATACATTAAATCAATAAAAAAAAATACACACACTACCGTGTATAATTGATCATGGTCGAATTCCGACCACTGGGCAACCACTAGTCTATATTATTAAACATAATTGCATTGAGATGGTGAACACATTTTTATGTGCCATAAGCTTAAGAGTTGTATTGCTGAATGTCTCCGAATTTCATGTAGGGTTTTTGTGCAAATTTTTATGTACAACAAGCTTAATAATACAACTAGTGTTGCTGTATTAGCTATGTACGATAGAAATGAACGAGCCCAGATAGCTGTATCCGGACACTCGCTTCAATACTGGATTTGGGACAGGCTGTGATGACGATAATGTGGGTTGTGTGCTGTTTAGGACGAATTTATATAAAACTAAACTCGCTTCGTAGTGTTCTACCTACTCGACCTGCGAACCTTTCCCGAGCTTGGGTTGTCGTATGTAAGGGTAAAAAATAACCCTCGATGAAAGTGAAAACACAGGAGGCGATTACAGGGTTCGAACAAGATATTAAATGTAAAATATGGAGTTGCTTTATTATAAAGTAGCCAGATATGCAAATTAAATTACCACTATAAATCAGGACGTAAAACATTTAGCTTTTAATTATGGACCAGCCTCACGATAAGTGTAAATAAAAAAAATCGTAGTATTTAGTGCCGTCGATAATAGCTGTGGAAAAAATACTTAAATTCCTTCGATTATAAGCCGGTCTGTAAAACGATCAACCTTGTAATACATTACAAAACATTTTTTACCTCTCATGCCATTATCTTGAATAAGGTAGGTAGAGATACTTTGTACTAACAAGATTTCTTTGAACTATTCAGGTGGACGGAGTGCATACAACACAGCACAGATGCGTAAGACGGCGGGTTTTTATTTGTGGTAGATTCTAAGATATACCACTAAGATCCGAATTTGCGTATTCAGATCGGCAAGTTAACATTTCAACCACCGGATAAACGCACTAATCCGCTAAATATTTAACAGCAATATTATTGAATATTCGTTTTTATTATCCTAGTACCGAGTATTTTGAAGTTGGGTTGAAACACAATGTGTAATTAAAGTCGGTCACATAACTGAAGGGCCATGGCTATGCTGTATATATTTATAACAAGCATACAGATATGTTATAAGATCGTCAAACAACATTCGTAAGCAAACATTCCAGCCAAATGGAAGTCTAAAACCTAGCCAAATGGTCTCCACTTGCCAGAAAAATGAATTAGTTTTCGATTTTAACGCTAGCCCTCACCAGAAAAAGTACAATTTCAAACTTTTCCACATTGCTAGAATTTTCCATAGCATAATTGCTTTTCCTCCACTTTCTCTGATTAAAGACGGCAAAATACTAACATTAATTTTATATTTACATTGCTGTAGAAGTTTTATGGAACAATAAATATACAGTTTAGAGTCCATTCCGGATACCTTCTACTAAACCTACCTATAGATATAATCAATATAAAGTTGAGGTAAACGATTAAACATAAAAATTAATATAATAGGAACTTTCTATTTTTGATGACTCCATGGCGCAGTTGCCAAGGTATTGACTTCGGTGTTGGGGGTTGTGGGTATAGATTCCTACAGGGGACAACTATTTGTGCGATCCACAGATAGTTGTTTCGCATCTGGGTGTCAGTCCTCGTGCAATTTATGTTTTTAAAATGTCCATACAACACAGGATAATGTTATCCTAAAGTGACGGCAATGTGTTTTTAAAGACAACCCATTTAAAGTTTCTAAGTAGATAAAGAGCGCATAATTAGTACGTAAACGTAAGTCACGAGGCACTTTAACATTTATATAGAAATGAAAAAAAAAATTATCATTTTTTAATAAATAATATGGTTTATGGATGTATTATTGTTAGGTACAGGTTCACGTAACAGTCTTCTCTGTTGCACAAAAGGGCGGCCAGGTACGTGCGGGTAAGTAGGTACCACAACCTCACAGAAGACCGGCGTGATGTGGAAGTGTTATACCTCTGCGTTTCGTCTGGTAAGCGAGGTGGCAGGTGCATCCCTACGGGTGTTGTATATGTCCATGGGCGGTTATCACTTAACATCAGGTGAACCGCCATCTCGTTTGCCATCTCACATAAAAAGTGCAAATTAGTGTAAATGTCCGTGAAAAGGTTTATATTGCCGTGAGCTAGTTAAAATGTGCGTATTACGTTAGTGATTATCCGTAGATCAACTGATCGCCTCAGTTCGTACAGAGTCGAGTTGCACGAGCACGGGACGCGATCTCGGTTTACGGAAGCGCTAATGCGAGCCTCACGCGCGCCAATGGCGGCGGAGCACCTAGCGACCTTGGCGCCGACCGTTGCTTCAGGTGGAGGAGCCTCAACACTGGGAGCGGGTCGCCATGAGCGACGGCTGGCGGTTCACTTGATGTTGACTGTTAACCGCCACCAATGGACATTTGCAACACCCGTACAATTGCAGATGCGTTGCCACCTTTTAATACACTTCTACTTCACGCCGGTGTTCCGTGAGGTCTAGGTACTTCCCCGGACGGACCTGCCCATTCGTGCCTGTTGCACGGTTCTGGTCTTCAGCGGTTAGCGGTATTTTTGTTCACTTTCACAAAATCGTTCGCAGAAAACAAAACAAAAAACCAAGCACATAGAAAACCCAGTCGCAAAAAAAACACAGGCTCGTTTAATAAAATATAAAAAAAAAAACACGTCACGCGTCGAATCATGACGAGCTCGACGCTACACGCGCATTGAATCCGCTGGTTAAAGCCAAGGTCTCAGCGCCGGCAGAGGCGCTCCAAGGTCGACTGTGGGCCAGGGCGCCGTCGGACCCTACGCGATCCTCATAGCAATCGACTCTGTTACGTAAAGACCGCCCCACCGATATCTTATCCATGACATGTAATAGCTTTAGGAATATAAAACAGGATATTTCGGAACGTTGGGAAATTTTCTGATCGCCATCCTCAGTTTAAGCCCTGTGCAGTTTTGTTATAATTTACGTAATCGTACCTCTCGGACATAATAAAGGTACAATGATAGAACCATCACAATATCCATTCTTTTTTTTTTCAGATTTACATTTACTAATAGAAACGGATATGGGTGTATTTTGGACGGTAAGTTAATGTAAATACGTACGTTTGTTAAACAAAATACAGCTACAACTCAAAATAATGTCATTCTTTAGTAATGTTAAGACAATTACCAAAAAGGTGCGGCCACCCAGCTTCTGCGATTGCAAAGGGCCAGGGCCTCAAAGAAGACCAGAACGAATAGTATGGTGGCAACGCTTCTGATACAATGCAGACATTGCAGATGGCCAAAGTCACTTAACATCAGTGAACTGCCTACTCGTATGCCACCTTCTTACACAAAAAATACTGTACTATAAGAAAAAAAAGTACATTCATAAATTGCCGAATTGGTACATTTGGCGAAAACTATTTATCACTTAAAAATAAGGACCCTAATACTAAAACCCGAATAAACGTTGAGATTCAAAACCAAGTGGGCAATTTACGTAAAAAACGTACACGGAATAGAGCCGCTGGTAAAAAATAAGTGGAAATGAGTCCCATCATTTCCTCATTGGCTCGTTCATTTGCCATGTTTCAGCGCCGCGCGGCGAAACTTCCGCGCAATTGTGGCGGCCACAATTCAATAAGCTTCTGACGTCGTAACTTCGGCTATAAAGTCCGTAAAAGCTGATTTCGATAAAATTCTAGTCGAAGACTTTCAAAAACACGTAATTGTTACATTACGTGTTTATTCCTTCTCTCTATTTATAAGGTAACAGACGCGATAGAATAAAGTGTGTTGCGACAAATGGGAGACGGCATTTTTAAAATTCTATGTTTACCCCTGGTCAGATATTAAACTAATACAAGCTTGAATAACCGCGCTGTATATTCTATTGCTGCAACAGCAACCGGGCACAACTAATACTTATTTAGAGAAAAAGATAATTTTCTAAGATTTAATTGGGCTAGGGCCACGCAACAGTATTGGCTGTTGCACGAATGGGCAGGTCCATCCGGGTTGATACCACAACCTCACAGAAGACCAGCGTGAAGTTGAAGTATTACACTTCTGCATTTCGTCTGGTTAGCGAGGTAGCCGGGGCCCACACTTATTAAAATTTTGCAACGCAACTGCAATCCTATGGGTGTTGCATGTCCATGGGCAGCGTTTATCACTAAGGTGAACCGCCAGCTCGTTTGTCACTTTGTAACATAAAAAGATACAAAACACATACATTAGAAAAACCTTACACTTTTGAACATATTATAATTAAAGTCTGGTACATCGTATATATCTAGAGAAACCTTATGATTTCCTGTATTTACACGAACACGTTACACATTATTTAAAATTATTACGAAGACTAAACATGACATCAGTACGGCTGGTCAGTATCTTTCGGTAGAACTATTAATACGGTTCAAGGTATCAAAACGGATTCAAAGGCGAATGCTGTAAACTAAAAGCCAAACGCCGATGCTTCAGAGGTAGATTTCTTTTTTGTATTTCAAACGGATCAGCGATTTGAATGCGCGTGCGCCAAATAATTGCCGATCAGGCAGCGGCCGCGAGGCGAACCGCAATTACACTAATGCGTGTTTGTTCAAGTGTCGGCTCGTCGGCTGTTTTTTTTTAAGACAACATATGGGCCACACATAATGCAGCAACAAGGGCAGTATCCAATTGTGACATGTGCTAACATGTGAGAACTATTAACGACCATTTAACTTGAATGAAACAAAAAAGGTAGGGCAGTCTTCGCCGTTGCACCGATGGGCGGGTACGTCCGGGTAAGTACCACGACCTCACAGAAGAACGGCGTCAAGTGGAAGTGTTACACTTCTGAATTTCGTCTGGCGAGTGACGTAGCAGGGGCCCAATTTATTAAAAGGTGGCAACGCATCTGCAACCCTACGGGTGTTTCAAATTACAACGGGCGGCGGATGTCACTTAAAATCAATTGACCCGCCGGCCCGCTTACCACTTTATCAAATAAAAAAGGGTATTGCTAAAACAAAAGTACAAAGAAGACAGAAAGCTATCGTCATAACGTTCAGCCCTCACTCGTGATATGAAAGAACTTGACACACATGTACGCTATCCCGTAATTGCACAACGCTCTTCACGTATGCTTCTCGAAGGCGCGTGGCCGTGTCTTATCGCCACTCCACCTGACGATCGTGGCAAGCGCCGTGGAGAAGGCCGCGAAGCAGTTAGCAAATCGAAATTAAATTCACATTATAAAATATTTTCATTCCGTTCATACTCGGCATCAAGGACTTGACTACCTTTCCATTAATATGTAATATAATTAAACATTAAAAATGTTTTCATCCCATTCATTCTATCAAGTCTCACTAAATCTACTCAAACAGCTTACGCACAGACTGGGTGCGGGTAGTGCAATTCGAATCCACAACGCGGCGGCATAACAGCGGCTACTAAGCATACGGTACCAACATTTATTAAATCGATTAAATGCATTGGTAGTTACTGTGACAGTTGCCGAGCGTGCATCCGTTAAATAACGGAATCGCCGTTTATAATTATGTATCGGATCGCCTTCGACACACCGTTGGGAGGCCGAAGGGCGGCGCAAAGGTCACTTACACACACAAAGATCCAACGCGTCGCACCTAGTATTATCACCTCGACCTTGATATGAACACAATGCAACTCTCGTCACAATTGCGAAAACAACAGCTCTCAACTCGGTTCGTAGCAATCTTATCGATATTATGAAAGCAGGACACTGTTTTTACTGTGTTAAAGTGTAAAACCGGCCAAGGGCAAGAAGAACTCGCGCACGAAGGGTTCTATACCATCCTTACTAATATTATAAAGTTTGTATGTATGGATGGATGTTTGTTACTCTTTCACGCAAATACTACTGAATGGATTTTAATGAAACTTCACAATAATATAGCTTATACATCGGAATAAGACAGGCTATAATTTATATACATTTTTATGTATATCTGTGTTTCTGTCTGAATGTTACGCCTTCAGCCTATTCTATGCAGACGTAGTCGCGGGCAGCAGCTAGTTATCCATAAAAACGGTAAAAAATAATTTATTTTGTATAGGAGCCCCACTTAATTTTTTTAATCCGTTTTTTTAGTATTCGTTGTTATAGCGGCAACAGAAATACATCGTCAGTGAAAATTTCAACTGTCTAACTATCACGGTTCATGATATAACAGCCTAGTGACAGACGGACAGACAGACAGCGTAGTCGGTAAAACGGAACCGTATTACTAAAATAGGGTCCCGTTTTACCCTTTGGGTGCGGAACGCTAATGAAGCGGCGTTCGTTGGTGCACGAATGGACAATCACCGCGACCTCAAAGAATACCAGCGTAATGTATCTTGAATACTTTTTCAAACGCCTGGTAAACCAGGAAACCGGGGCCTAACGTCCCAAAGGTTGGCAACGGAACTAACAACCCCAAGCGTCAGTTAATATACAAAGTCGGATGGACCTACTCGTTTCCTACATGCCTTCTATTTTTTTTGAGCAGCACATGTTTGAAAAGTTCTTTTACATATTATTATTATTATTTCGGCGGATATTGGCTGTTTAATTTGTAGAAACGACTGCGAGGAGAGAAGCGTAAGACTGAAATCATGAAGCCGGTAAATAACTCTAGTCAATCACGCTGTTATTCACTGCTAAGACAATTGGCATTCGCTAAACAACAAACACCTACGTAACAAAAGCCATTTGTCTTCTTTTATTCATTGATAGGCGCTATTTCATATATTATCGCCGGTGTTTTCCTGCCTTATCAGATAGCCGGCACGAAAGCAATACAAGGATAAAGCCCGACGAGGACGTTGTCGACGTTCGTGTACTGGCAACGGTCAAAGTGGTCATCCAGTTACGATAGAAGGATTTTCTGTCCACCTAAATAACCAACACTTCTACTATTAATAAAAGAAGCAATTAAAGCACTAACTATGTAGTAAAACCTCCTCGGATCTGTTACAATGTTGTATGATTGTTTCCAAAACAATATTATATAACACGCCCGACAGATGTCGGAGGCCGGATCTCTTTATCCTTATTGTGGTAGGCAGTTAATGCTAAATGCCTTATATCGATATGTGTGTTTAGTTAAGACGGCGGAGCCGACGGGCTCGATAAGCTGCCTATTTCCGATCGCGGATAAGAGAATTCAATGCTCGCACACTTTTTCTATAATAATACATCAATCGCCTTACATAAGGCGCCGCGACGCATTGCAATCCGGCGGCGAAAAAAGCAATGAGCGACAGAACGTTATACAGATATCGCTATAGTCGCGTAATATAGTCGAAAATGTTCAATGCCGAAATATCTACGGAAGCGTTCGCGTCACATAGCCTCCGAGACAGAAATGGAATACAGCTAAAGTTCAGCAGTCATCGGGACAAATGCTTTGTTATATGCGTAATAAGGACAAAGGGCATGTCCTTAGACTAAGCAGAATAAATATTGACTAAGAATTGTGCCAGTGATGATGACCTGTGCAAGTGTGCGGGAAGTCGATGGATGCAGGTGACTCTCAGGATCGTGCTTCGGGGCAGTCTGTGGGGAGGCCTATTTTCAACAGTGAACTCAAGCAGGCTGAAAAGATGATGATGTCTGTGCCTGATTAAGAAAATGAAAATAGAAGGAACAATTACATTTTATATTATAAAATATTTATTATATTTTAAATTAATTATTAATTAACAATTTTTTTTTAATTTATATTAATTGTTATGTGTACTGGTTGAGTCTTGTATTATTATTAAAAATAAAAATTTAAATAAGATTAATTGGGATAATTAATAAAATATTTCTATCAATAATTGTTG